ATAATGTACCATTTTACATCATAGTGTACCTCTTAGCCAATAGCGATGGCCGATTTAAATTCAAATGCAGTGCAGTTTTTACCTGAAGAGGGCACAACACTGACAGTTTTAGGCAGAACATTAAATTTTTAACTAAGATGCACTAAAGTGCCACATTATTTACTAGACTTGTGTACAACACGATTAGACACTCATGCATGTAGTTTATCAGCAAAAAAGATTGATTTGGGGGTAACTTGCTCTTTAAGCTTCATGTGAGACACCCTTTTTTCAAAAACATGTTTTGTATAGACCATAGAACTATTATGATGTTGCTTAATGTATGAACATGTCTCTCACATTCAAGTTTAAATTCCCCATTAATCAATAGTATTTGGTGTTGCTGTTAAAAAGCACAGATGTAGCAACCCGACAGTGCAGATTGTTTAAGTTTTAGGCTGTGAAGAAATGTAATAAAATGATTTTCTTCACTAGTTTTCCAGACCTTATCTCAAAATCAGATGTGGCCCTATGCACCTTAAGTTTAGGAGCTCCTGAGGGTGCTGACAAATGTCTGGTAATGGTAATGATCCAACTACTGATACACTGCCCACAGTTCCATTATTACATTTATGGTACCAACATGCTGTGGTCTTTGAGAGTGATGGGGCCATGTAAACAAACAGGAAATGCACAATCCCACCTTGGGACATGTTAGAGTCTCAAATTAATCTAACATGCATGTTTTTGGTCAGTGGGAGGAAACTGAAGGAGACACACCAGGTGAAAAATGTTATATCTGCTTAGACATGCTGCAGCTGGATAGGAAATCTGCAACGTTCTTTCGACGAGTGACCCTGGCCCATAATTAAATTCTAAAAATGAAAACACAACAAAAAATCTCTGAATGTGTTCTCATGAGTCTGGTGATTTCCTGCCCAAGGGAAAAGAGTGGACAGACAGTTGTATGAAGCCACAGATTTATGAGTAACAATAAAAACAGAATGTCTCTGGCCACAGTCTGTTGTCAACATAAAGACATAAAACATCCATAAATGAGCTGCCTACAGTATAGAGGTCTGTACACATGTCTCTGCTCGTCTCTGCGGTGAAGAGGGAAAGAAACAGTACACGAAAGCGACCTTGAGCCAGACGAGGAGATGCAGTTGAGTTCAACATCAATAATTTAGCAGTAAGTTGACACATGAAAAAAAACAGAGGGAATGAGGGTGAGAGGGAAAAATGAGAAATAGACAATGCCCAATGATTCTAGAGTCATCTAAAATTCATGCATGCATCATTGCTGCCATGAATATTCATTAGGAGATGAATATTTAAGTATAACTCCAGTGGAGAAATTAGGTTTATCTTTTTGCACTTATCAATAATTTGCAGGCCAGGTGAGTCTCATTGGACACTAAATAAATCATATCTGCACACACGCACAAAAAGACGTTAGGCTGTGAAAACAAAGCAAAACAATGGAAAACAGAACCAAGTAAAATGTGTTCAGCTGCCTCTTCAACAAAACAAAGAAGTCCGCAGTTTGTTGCTGTAAGGCAGCGGTTCCCAAACTTATTTAGCTGCGCACCCCCCAGCCCCCACATCAGGGCATGGCTATGTCAAGCTAAACAGACAGCGTTAAAAAATATGATCGACCTTTTTCCCCATCACTTTCATTTTTTAAATAGTAATTAATAAACATTCAATACTATTACAATTACCTTTGATTTAATTTTAAATAAATATTTAGAGTGCCCAGGTAGCACATAAACAATGCAATTCAACGGTTTTGTTACAGCAGGAATGTTTAACCTGTGCGGCCAGAGCGCTCTCCTTCCTTCTGCTCTGCGTAAACCTGAGCTGATCACCTACTTGTGCGTAATCAAATGTCTATAGGGGACAAGATGTAGCCATGATGTTCACTTTAGCCTCAGACCGACTTATCGCTGTTTTATGGTGTGGCTGAATCTGCGATCCGCTGCCACGCGGACTGGAATAACAAATGCTGCAGTAACAGGAGATGTGGTCAGGTTCGGAGTCACTGGCTGGAGCGGACCCGACTTTAATACGTCATCCCAAAATAGAAGCTAATATCTTAATTTGACCTGGAATGAAAAATGTTATAAAACCTCTTAAAAGTTTTTATCACAGAGGAGGCAGCGCTCATTTGTTCTTTCAGTCTGACGGCGCGCCGGAGTTTACGCAGCGTGCGCGCTTATTGAATCTGTGTGTGTGTGTATGTGTGTGTGTGTGTGTGTGTGTGTGTGTGTGTGTGTGTGTGTGTGTGTGTGTGTGTGTGTGTGTGTGTGTGTGTGTGTATGTGTGTGTGTGTGTGTGTGTGTGTGTGTGCGTGCGTGTGTGTGTGTGCGTGCGCGCTCCATGAGCCGCTCCAGTCACCGTGTCTCGTTCTTGGCGCTATTTAAACCAATGTTGTAAAATTCCTTCTGCCCAGCCCAGATGTGCTCACTTGTGCACCCGTGAGCCGTGGTTCCGCTGGAACGCCTCTGACCTCTGACAGACGCACTCTGAACTTCAGATCTTCAGCGCGCTGTTAATAGCCTGAATGGGAATCATCTCTTGATTTATTTAGTTACATCCACAATGTTCTGTGTGTGAGGTTTACAATGTCAGAACACCTGCATGAGACAGGTGTTAATTACAATCTGCCAGAATGACTCACCACCTTCAGATTCCTCCAACATCGTTAAAAATGATCAAATACAGAACATATCGACGTGCGCAGGCCAGAGCGCTGAAGCTCGGCGCATTGTTATTATGAAGCTAGGGCACATGCGGAGGACACACACCCAAAAATATATTTGTTTTCAATTACATTTATTAGGCCCACTTTCTTTTTCTTAGGCCCACCCACAAATGAGTTTCTGGCTACGCTAATGATGACATATGACAGACTTCTCTGAGCTCCGCAGCCATTACACTTTTCACCTCGCGCACCCCCTAGCGGCAGCTCGCGCACCCCCAGGGGTGCACGCACCACACTTTGGGAATCCCTGCAGTGTAAGGCATGATGGCAGAATGGAGGAAAGATGGACCGACAGATCGAGACGTTGTGTGTAAAAACCAGACCACCGCCCTGATCTGTCATGGTAAAGAAGGAACCAAGCAGCAAAGCAAAGTTCTGAACTTAATGATCCATTCACATTTTAACGATGACCTATGATGTCATTTAAGAAGTATCATGATCTGGGGAAAATGTCCCAGATACATGTGGCTGATATGAGCTACTTCCATTTGGTGGCCATGCTGAAGCTGTATGGACAGGGTGAGGGTGAGAAGATCCTTTTGTGTATTCATTCTGTGTGTTTCTATTCTAGCCATTGATTCTTTTTGAACACAGGCAACGGTGGTTTTACCTTTTTTGCTGACAGTTTCGAGTACTCCTGCAGTCTTCTCCAGAGCTAGCCGCAGCCGACTCTGAAGAACCCTAACCCTGTCCTTACTCCATTCAATATAATGTTGAAAAGATTTTATGGCGTTAATGCTCCTTTAGCATTTTTGTGCCATTGACTCCCATGTAAATATTTGTTTTCTAATAAGCCAACATATTAGCAGCATTTTTTTCTGTCTGGGTTCCCAGAGCAGTCACAGATTGTTTTCTACCAGATTGAGTGTTTTCTCCGTGTATAGAAGGGCAATAACTGACACTGCATTCAAAAACAAATAAAACAATTTTCATGCCCATTCATGACACTACAATATGCTGAAAATTCACCAACAAAGCAAATCATCTGGATATAACACAAAAAAAATGACTGCATTTTTTATTTTCACATTTCTGGTTTTGATTATTCACCTGGCAGTAAAGGGGTAAATAAAGGAGTAAAACTCCAGAATCACACAAATATTTTGTTATATCTTGTGGGAGCTGAAGCCAAGGATCACATTCATGTAAATGGAACTCATGAAATAGTTTTGTGCTCTAGGAGCAGAAAATTGAAGGCATACATGAAGAGTAGGGGAACCACTGCTCCTCCACATTGATAAAAAATCAGCTGAGGTGGTTCAGTCATCTGATTAGGATGACCACTGATTACCTTTTTGTGCAGGAGTTCCAGATACGTCTCACTGGGACGAGATCCCAGGGAAAACCGAGGAATCATGTAATGTCTGTGGCCTGAGTATGCCTCAAGATCCCCAGCATGAGCTGGATAGTGTCACCGGGGGAGGGATTTTTAGCTTTTTCTTCTGGATCTTTTACCTCCTCTATCTAACCAACCAACTAGTTAAATTTGACCTGTATAGCATCTTCTACAATCAATCCAGCAACACTAGGTACTTAAACCCTAACCCTAACCCCAACGTCATCACAAAATAAAACATGATAAAAGAAAAACAAACTAACATGAAACATTACGAGCATCAAAAGAGAAGGATAAGGTGTCTTAAGAACAATCAGCAAAATAAAAATGCATATATGTATGAATGGAGACATTTCTAAGCATTGTAGACTGTTTTTCTCAAGTGAAAACTGAGTTGTTGTCTTTAAAGGAAATGAAATAACAGTAAATTTTATTTTTTATAATTTTTATTTGTCAGAGATGTGGTTCACTCATTTAATCAACAAAGTTGCAGTGGTGTCTGCTAGGAATGAATGCCTTGTAAGTCGTACTCAGGGTACAACAGCTCAGGAGCATCGTTTTTAGGACATAGCACTCAGCTAGATGAAAACGACAGGATTTGGAGTTTTATTTCTTGATATTTGGACATATTTCCTCTGACTATTGTTAACAGCAATGCCACTCTATGACTGACTCAGTTTGCTTTTGCCAAAACTGATTTCTAACAAAGTAATTTTTTGTCTTATTTTTAGTCTACGTAAGAAGAAAATCAATTCTTCTCTATAAAATTGCATTATTTAAATAAGGTACATATTCTTATATATGATCCAAATTTTCTGGTTTTGAGTAAAAAAATAAATTATTTGTGGAGTAAAGCAAAACAGCTGGGTGCCAGCTAGAACAAATTTTTTTTAAATCAAATATTAAAGATCTTCTTACCTTGAAGAGGTAACGTCTCTGCTCTTCTGACATCACCAGGAGATGGCTGTCTGTTACCATAGCATCTATGTCCATCAACCAATCCCACAACTCCTGGTACTCCACCTCAATTTCCTGCAGGCTGAAAACAGAAAGCACAAAACTATTCATTTGGTTTTGTTTTTTGTTTGTTTTTATACTTTTTATGTTCCAAAACTGGTGACTCAAATATTGGCCACCCATTCATCCAGCCATCCAATGATTTCCCTTGTCCACTTTTTTCTGATTGGCTTCATAACCTGACCTGTATTGGAATGTTTACTATGTAAAGTGACTTGAGACGACTGTTGTCGTGATAAACTTGAATTCAATTGAATTAAGTTGAACTTGTGCCGGGTCAAGGGGTTTCCAAACACTGAAGAGACAAAAAACCATACATATGCATGTACTCACATCAAATGCCAGTTTAGAATGTAATTAACCTAATATGCAAAGTAGTTTTTGAAAGAAGCTAGTATATGTGCAATACTGTACAATATTAAGACTTATATATATGATGTGGGTGTGTTTGGAGGACTTGGTCAGAAGCCGAGCACAGGTGTTCTGAACCACCTGCAGACGGTTCAGGGAGGATCTGCTCAGACACGTGAAAAGAGAGTTAGTCTAAGCATGAGGAGATGAAGGTGTGGAGAACAGTCTCAGGGTGAGGGCTGGGTCAAAGGTCACACCAAGATTCCTGACAGACCAAACCATGCGTAGTAACAGCATCTACTGGTAGAACGGGGGAACAGCAACACTGAAGTTCTCAGTCATCCACACAGTCCGGAGTGGGCCTTGTTCCACTCTGCGATTGTTGAGGCGGCTGTTGCTAGCTGTGGTCGCAAGGTGGCCGGTCCCAGTCGTCATGGCAACCCCTGTACCCGCTGGTGGACACCAGAGGTTCGGGGAGCCGTCAGGCTGAAGAAGGAGGCCTACAGGGCGTGGCTGGTCTGTGGGTCTCCAGAGGCAGCAGACAGGTACCGGATAGCCAAGCGGGGTACAGCAGTGGCAGTTGGCAAAATCTCGGGCGTGGGAGGGGTTTGGTGAGGCCATGGAGAAAGACTATCGATCGGCTCCAAAGAGGTTCTGGCAAACTGTCCGGCGCCTCAGGAGAGGAAGGCAGCAACTCGCTCACACTGTTTACAGTGGGGATGGGGAGCTGCTGACGTCAACTGGGGCTATAGACGGACAGTGGAAGGAATACTTTGAGGAGCTTCTATGGCGTCAGATGGGTGCCAAAACCACATCGTCCACAGTCCACATCGCGCGTGCGAACGGGACTCGCGCATGGAAGTTAGAACCTCTCAAGTGAAAATATACATGGCGAGAGGTCATTTGTACACTGAGAGGGAGCGAACTGTGTCTGTGAGTGCACAAGGATGTGCACAAGTGACAAACTTGCGTGCACGCGTTGGCCAATGAGCTCACGGCAGAGGAAAACATGCGCGTGGTAGCCTCACTGCGTGCGCGGCAGCCATTCTGCGTGCTCGGTTTCTGATTCTGCTCGCTCGGCTATTGGGAGTTTTAGCACTCTGGAGGCGTGGCCTTCGGCTGATCTTTTCTGTCCTCTGATTGGTACATTTTTTTCCGCTCCTTACCCTCTACCTCATTGGCCCATTGACTTCCTTTCGGAGCACAATGAGGGTAGATGAAGAACAAATCTGATTCAAACTTTAGTAAGTACTGTTATAGCTCAGCTGGTAGAGCCGAAGACTTTCACTCGGAAGATCCGGATTCGAATCCAGGCAAGGACAACAGATAACATGTAAGGTTGTTTTTTTTTATTCCAGTGATAGCTTTTACAGTTATAACCATTCAACTGTCATTAAATGTCCGAATGTTTGCTGAAAGTGCAGTTGAACTTGAGGAAAGCGTATGACTGTGGAAGAGAGGGGAAGATGGCCAATGACACCTCAGCTCAGTGCAGTCAAGAATTACTGGTGTTTGGGTAGTCCTGAACGTGTTATGATGCCCCCACCGTCTCATTGGGTCTTCATTTGTGTTTAATTGTGTTTCTGAGAGTTCGCACTCCTGAGCCTCCCTGGTAAAGTCCATTCAGGAGTTTTTGAGAGGAGGGTCTGTTGGATTGTTGAACCTCAGATTCAGGAGGAAAAATGTTGTTTTTGTCCTGGCCGTGAAACACTGGACCAGCTCTATACCCTTAGGGGGATCCTGGAGGGTGCGTGGGAATTTTCCAAACCAATCCACAAGTGTTTTGTGGATTTGGAGAAGGCGTTCAACCGTGTCCCTCAGGGGGCCCTGTGGGGAGGTACTCCGGGAGTATGGGGTACCAGGCCCTCTGATATGGGCTGTTAGGTTCTTGAGTGACCGCTGTCAGAGCTTGGTCCGCATTGCCGGCAGTAAGTCGGGCTCGTTTCCAGTGAGAGTTGTACTCAGCCAAGGCCGCCCTTTGTCATCGATTCTGTTCATAACTTTTATGGACAGGATTTCTAGGTGCAGCCAAGGTGTTGAGGGGATCCGTTTTGGTAGCCTAAGGATCGGGTCTCTGCTTTTTGCAGATGATGTGGTCCTGTTGGCTTCATCAGAACGTGATGTTTGGCTTTTGCTGGAAGAGGGAAGTCTAGGCCTCCCAATTTAGGCAGCTGCTCCGGAAAAGCGGATGAAAATGGATGGATTTGTTTTTTGCACTTCGGCACCTAGTGTCTTGATCTCGCTGTCAAAGTTTTTATTTTTAAATTTTTTTTCTGGAAAACCAGGAAAGACCTAGGGAATTTCCTCATGTGCTGAGGACGTAGTGTGATCAAATATGGTTAACTGAGGGCATTCCTGTATGTAAATGACTGAGAACGGACACGAGCACCTGGGTATGCATAGGTGTGATTTATCGTCAGATGAGTGCAGAGGAACAAGTGTACTAGAGACCACCGCATGTTTCATAAATCAGGATTTTAACTGTTCGTTCTCACGTTCTACATTTCGTTCGTGGAAAGGAATATAGGACAGTTTCTACAAACAACTGATAAATGAGGGCCCAGGTCTCTACATCTTTGAGAGATTTATTGCAAGAAAAGTGAAAACGGCTTAGCAGTGCCCTCACTAGTGGAAAGGACAGTTTGTCAGCAACAAGCTGAAAGAAAAACACTACCAGGTTTTCCAAAACAACAGAAAGTACAATCACTACCCTGGCAAGCTACTGTAGCCTCTTTTAGAAAGCAATGCCCCCAATTTGCTGCAACGCTGAGCCAGCATCAGGGAGCCTTATGTCATTTATAAGTGGTCAGACTGTGATGGTAATCCGGCACAATTGTGCCCTTTTTACAAAAGAATATGCCTCGGTGGTGCAAAAGAGGTATGGAGGTGCTCTGCGCTGCCACGGACTTGCATTTCTCTTGTTTTTAATTGTGATCATTCCATTTTTTTCACAAGCCTCTCGTAAAGGCGTCTGTCTTCCACGGTCCCCAGGAACAGTCTGGTGATCTGAGCTACAGCTCTAATGGAGAGAAGCTTCCAGAGTTCTGCAGTGCTCCAGTTTATCATCTCAGCTGATTCTGTTCCAAAAGCAAAACTTGTTGCCGTGTTTACTTTAATTTGTAATATAGTTTCCTGCCGGAGCTCATTGGTGATTCCACACGTGATCATGACACCACCTTCTGTTGGGCAAAGGCGTAATACGCATTCACAAGTCCCGCATTGCAGAAGTATTACTACCAAGTCTGTCGGCACAAATGATGTTAAATTCCCACATTGCCATGCCACCACAGCGCACTGACAAGACGCACTGTGGTGGCAGTATTGCACCAATTTTCCAGCATTGTGTGTCATCTAAAAAGGGCTTTTGTTTCCAATCTGTAAGCCTGCGGGTTTGCTTAGTCTGCACTGAGCTTTATGAAGTCACAAAGCCCAAATCTTGCTGCTTCTTGGTTTTCGCAGAAAATATAAAAAAATAAAGAAAAAACAAGTCTCTGTTTAGAGAGAGGGACACATGATGGAGAGATTAACCCTCTAGATTCAGCTGCTGAACAATAGAGAACATTTGTGCATGAGACCACTGCTTACTTCTCTTAGATCAATACTCATGCTGTTCTTGTTACAAAACCTTTGACAAAAAATGTATCTGCTGTAAAGTAGGGTACATGTCACAAGAGTTGCATTCACTTTTAGCCTCTCTGTTGTTGATAATCTGTAGAAATGAACTAAATCAAAACTTCTGCCTTCCTCAAAAATGTTCCTGCACTTGTTTTTAATGAAAAACACACCTGAATTATCCAGAGCAGCAAACTGTTCTGCTTTTACAAAGGAGCATTCATGTGTTGATGATGAATCCATCAATATGATAATACTAAATAATATTTCTACAGTGGTTGTTGTTTTCTTGAAGTTTTAAACTTTTTTTCACAAGAAAGGAAAAGGTGTAGTGGCTGTCGAATGCAATAATACGTGTCTGGGGTTACAAAGGCTTTCAGAAAGAGGGAATTTCAATTTGCTTTCAAAGGTGGAAAAAGTAGAATGTGACAATGTTCTGTAAGTAGAAATATGGAATTAAATTTTAGTCATAAGTTGTGTGAAAGAGAAAACATAATTACAGGCAAATAATTTATTTTCCCTGGCACATGGATTTATTGCAACTTGCGCAATTAAAATCCTGGCACATAAAAAAACCTGTGTGCTCAGAACTTAGCAGTCAACCACAAAAGAAGTCATCCTGCACCAGTGTTGTTTTCGTTAACGGAGACGATGGCAAATTGATTTTGTTGATGCCCCTTTTTTTTCCATCACTAAAACGTGATGCTGACAAGCTAAAACTAGCTCTTTTGTGACTAAAACATGATGAGACGAACGGGAGTCTTCGTTAACGGGCCGAGACTAGACGAAAACTATGATCAAAATACACATTTTTGTCTGTTTCTCAAGGGTTAAAAGTAACAGTGCAGCTGCTGTCTTTGTCTCTCAGCTGAAGCATATTCTGCTCAACAGAGCATCCTCAGTAAGCTGTGAAGCTGGCTTCCCACCCACATCAGAAACTAACCACTCTGTGTGTGTGGATTTCTGATGTGGGTTGGAGGCCAACTTCAGCTCGGCTCGGCCGCGGGAATGCACGGCACTCAGCCGCTCTGGGGCAGCTGAGATTGTGTCCCATAGTCA